TTTCCTCCTCTATGGTTTCCAACTTACCCTTGGCTGTCTAAACAAGGCTGTAATGAATAGATGGTGGATGGTGATCTTCTGTACATAGCATTGGTGTCACCAATGCTGGACTACATCATACAGGTCCAGTCCATGTATTAGACAGTTGGAGAGGGTACGAAGCAAGACCACAAAGATTGACTGAAGAGCTGGAGAAGATGCCACACAGTGAGAGATCACAGAAAAACTGGGCAGTGGAGCGTAAATACCAATGGGTAACTGAGGCCTCTTCCTAACTTTAGGGATCCCTGGGTCCTGGGCAGGGCCAGACTGAGCCATTCCTGTGCCCCAGGTACAAAGTTGAATTGTGCCCCGGGTTGGGGAAGGGAGCATGCGCGGCCCCGCCCCCTGCTGGTGCGTGGGGGAGGGCGCGCGGAGCTGGCAGCGGCAGGACGCATGTGCCCAGCCCACCCCAGCTACCACTGATGGTGCGCAACCCGGGGCCGCCCAGGGCAGGACAAGGCTGGCCATGCATGACATTGCAGCCATGAGGGCAAGGGTGCTGCTGGCCAGTGCTGCAGGGGTTAACGCGGCCCCCACCCCAGGTGGCCACTGCAGGGTGGCCGCTGGGAGCTGCTGCAGCTCGCAATCCGGGAGCCGGGAGCTGGGCGCGCAGCGCTTCATGGTAGCTATAAGGGGCGTTGCATGTCCCTTACAGCTGCCATCAGGCGCCCGCCACAGGTTGGCGCCCCGGGCAGCTGCCCGGCTAACCCATGCCTTAATCTGGCCCTGGTCCTGGGTCCTCTGTTTCAATCTTCAGGGAGAAAAGAAAGCACCTCCCCCTTTGGAACAATCCAAGGGAAATTTCCATACAGGGAACCTTGTGGAATCTTCCTTCACCAGCCTGCACGTTGGGTTTGTAATGCAGGAAATGAGGCTTCTGGGGAGAAATCTGGTCAATTATTATTATTATTCTTATTCTTATTCTTATTCTTATTCTTATAGGCTTTGTCTACTCTGCAGGGTTTTTGCACAGGAAGCTTTTTGCGGAATAGATCTTCAACAAAAAAATCTTCTTGGGCAAAAGGGTGTCCGCACTTCAAAAGCGCATTGCGAAAGTGATGTTCTTTTGCACAAGAGAGCATCCACATTGCATGGACACTCTTGTGCAAGAAAGTTCTGATTGCAATTAACAGAATGGCCATCAGAGCACATGTGCTTTTTCTGATAGGCTCTTTTTGCACAAGAAACCTCTGCGGAGAGTCCACACGTGACCTTTTGTGCAAGAACTGTAGCCAAAAAAGGAGTTATTCCTCATGGGGAGAGGAAAAGCTTTACTGGCAAAAGCCCTCTGTCCTGTCGATTTACTGTATTTTTTGTGTGTGCAAAAATACGCTTGAGGTGTGGATGCGCCGCTGTTTTTTTCTGCAAAAATGGCCTTTTTTGCACAAAAACCTTGCAGTGTAGACATAATATTGTATTTTAATTCACCAAGGTCAGATCTCTGATAGCATCACTACAACTCAGGGACCCATGTGTCCCATCAGAACCATAAGAACAAGAATGGAGCCTGCAGTAAGGTTGCATCCACTGGGATTTGGCCTCTGTAGTTCACTATTGGACATGACGGAGTTAAAGCTGGTGAACACAAAGCCAAACAGCCGAGACTCCCCGAAGGCTAAGTGGCCCCAAGGGAAGGTACAAACATGCTGCATAAAGGCAGTTGCCTCCCTATCTGAACACACACTGCCTGCTGCCCGTGCAACCTCTCCGGTGACTCCTTGCGCTTTAGGACTTGTGGTGCCAGCGGCTCCCTTCTAGCAGGAACTGGATACGTTGGCAAGTGCAGGGCAAAGGCTGCCGGCTGTTTCCATTGGTAGATGTTCTGTGCAGCGACAGAGGACTCAGCTGGGCTGTTGGGGTGACTCAGTGATGGGGCTGAAGGGCAGCAGCACTAGGTAGCTCGGGAACCCTACCCTCCATATACCCAGGATTGACAGTAGGTTATTTAAGCTGCACAGAAATCTGGCACTCAAACAAAGCTCAGTGTTAAAACCCTGATAACCTCAGTCAGAATTTCTCAAGTGGTCCACATTGGAAATACACCAAAATCTTCCCTTCTCCTGCCCTGTTTGCTTGACATGGATTTGAAATAAGAAGCTGAGACAGTCATCAAGTGTGGGCTCATATGTTAAACTCCCCCCACACCTGCAACATTTTTAACTCCATTCCTCATCTGTTTCATTGAGTGAAAAGTTTAGAGTGCTGTGTGGATGTACCCTTAGCAACTAACAAATGTAGATAGATAGATAGATAGATAGATAGATAGATAGATAGATAGATAGATAGATAGATAGATAGATAGTATCATGAGCTTTCATTCACAAAACTCCCGTCATCAGATGAGAAGAGTGCAGAGAAAAGGAGGGAACCTCTCAATGTATAATAGAAAAAGAAGAGGGGGTGAGGTAATTAATTACCTGTCAATTGTAGAGCCCGTGCTAATGAGTCTAACTGAGTGGTCTGGAAATGTCCCAAACTTAGATTTGATGTCAATAGGATGTTGAATGTAAGAAAAAACAGTTCATATCTTTGTTGGAACCATGAAAGACAGTGTCAAATTGGTATATAAAGGCCAATTCTGCTCTCTCTCTCTAGTTTGCTTGTGAAATTCCTTTGTAGAAGAATGGCTACTTTTAAACCCTTTTACGAGTGCCCAGGTAACTTGAAATGCACCCCTTCGGTTTTCTGTGTGTTATCATTCCAGAAAACTGACTTGTGCCCATTTATCCATTGTAGAGGCTGTCCAGTTTGGCTCATAAACATGGCAGAGGGGCATTGCTGACACTCAATGGCATAGATCACATTAGAGCATGTACAATTGTATGAGCCTCTGATGTGGTAGCTTATGTGATTAGGTTATGTATGAGTGTCACTTGAACAGATGTGTGTGCAGAGTTCACAAAGATGTTTGTGGGCAAAGGTAGGTTCCTTGGTGAGTATATAAGAGGTGTGATGTATCGCTGCTGGAAATCATCTACTTTATGTTGAGGGGTTGTCTGTAGGCAAGGATTACTCTGTCTCCCAAGGAATCGTTTTCCAGGATAGGTTGTAGATTGTCACTGATATGCTGGAGGGGTTCTAACTGGGGGCTGTAGGGATACGTCTAGACTAAATGGCTCCATCGACGGAGCCATGTAGATTTGTTTGTTCGGCAAAGGGAAATGAAGCCGCGATTTAAATAATCGTGGCTTCATTTAAATTTAAATGGCTGCCACGCTCTGCCAATCAGCTGTTTGTCGGCAGATCGGGGCAGTCTGGATGCTCCCTTGTCGACATGAAAGCGCTTTATCAACCTCCCCAGTAAACCGCATCCTACGAGGCATAACGGGGAGGTCGATAAAGGGCTTTCAGGTCGGCGTGGGAGTGTGCAGACTAGCGTGCTGAGCCGACAAACAGCTGATCAGCCATTTAAATTTAAATGAAGCCACGATTATTTAAATCGCGGCTTTATTTCCCTCTGCCGATCAGCCTAATCTACATGGCTCCATCGACGGAGCCATGTAGTTTAGACACACCCTAAGTGATGACTAGTGGTATTCTGTTAATTTTCTTGTTGGGCTCAGCTTGAAGAAGCAGATTACTGGGTACTGTCTGGTTCTGCCAATCTATTTCTTCATTACCCAGGTGAGTCTTTAAGTTTTAAGAATGTCTGATAAAGATCCTGTAAGTATTTGTCTCTGTGGGATTGGAGCAAATCCGGTTGTCTCTTATGGCCTGGCCCTAAACAATTGATCATGTGATGTGTCCAGGATGGAAGATAGAGACATGTAGGTAAGAATAATGGTCTGGAGTTTCCAGTACAAGATAATGGTAGGGTAGCCATCATTTAATTGTACTGTAGTGTCAAGGAACTTGATGTCTTGTGTGGACTGGTCCAGGCAAATGTTGATAGTAGGCTGGAAATTCCTGTGGAATTCTTCAAGAGTCTCCTTCCCCGTGTCCATATGATGAAGATGGCATCAACATATTCTAAGTAGAGTAATGGTAGTAGGGGATGAGAGTTGAGGAACCTTTTTTCGAGGTCAGCCATAAAGATGTTGGCATGTTGTGGGGCCATCAGGGTGCCAATAGTTGTGCTGCAGTCTAGAAGTTATACATTATCCCCAAACTGGATAGTTGAGGATGAGCACAAAGACACATAGCTTAGTCATCAGGTGTGCTGTGGTGTACTCAGGGATAATGTTCCTGACAGCTAGTAATCCCTTATGATGTGGAATGCTGGTGTCAAGAGCATTTACATCCATGATGGCCAGGAAGTCATTGGTAGGTAGGGGTGCTGATAGCATAGGGTCTGAGGAGAGAGGCAAAATAACTGAATAATCCTCCTGCTACCACAACCACAACAGTTCCCCCCATTCACTTTCCATGACATTACAAAATGAGACACCATCAGAAATGGAGAGCTAGAAATTGGGTGTTTGGGAAAGTCAACGTTTTAATATTACACAGTGCTCAAGTAGGGCATGAAAATCCCAGCCACAATGCATCAATAGGGCCAGGAGCTTACAGGGATTCACCGGTGGACTGGATATTTATATGGGTAACTAAAAAATCCAGTTTCAGTTGAGGATTTTCTGAGCTGTCTTGGAAGGTCTGTCAACAATTATGGTTTGCACCTCAAAATAGGTCTAATTTTGGAGGGGCGGGAAGCTTTCCTAAAAGTAGGTAATCTCATAGCTGTTTATTGCAGGTCTTCCTACACTCCACCTGCACTACTGGCTACTTGGCTACATTAACTACAGGTCTCACCCAATCAGATAATCCCTAACTTCCTATCAGAGGTGTAAATCAAATACTATATTTTTGCACATCTTCCTTGAACTACTGGGGTTCTCATGTCATAACTGCCCTCTACTTTCCAAAAACAGAACGACGATATGTAAAATATTGTCTAGTCTTCTATTCTTTTTCCTTTCAGGAAGGAAAATTCAAAACTCCTCAGATCTACCCAGTATATCATGTCAGCTATCAACGACACCAAATCCACTACTGCAGTTTTCCTTCTCACTGGGATTGCAGGGCATGAAGATGTCCATCTGTGGATCTCTATCCCCTTGTGCCTTATTTATGCCATATTGATAATGGGAAATACAGGTATTCTATTCATTATAAAAACGGATCCAAGCCTCCATGAGCCCATGTACATTTTTCTTTCCATGTTGGCAGTCATAGACCTTGGCTTATCCATAACCACCATGCCGACAACACTGGGCATATTCTTGTTTAACTCTAGGGAAGTCAGCCTTGATGCCTGTTTTACCCAGTTGTTCTTCATCCACTGTCTTTCGTACATTGAATCCTCTGTGCTCCTGTCAATGGCCTTTGATCGCTTCGTTGCAATCCGTGACCCGCTCAGATACGCTTCCATCTTAACCCCTCCAAGGATATTCAAGATGGGACTCGTATGTGTGCTAAGAGGGGTGGCTTTAGCATTCCCATACCCCTTTCTCCTGAAACGCCACCGATACTGTCGAGCCAATGTCCTCTCCCATTCCTACTGTATGCACAATGAGGTCATGAAGCTGGCATGTGCAGACGTCACAGTCAACAATATCTATGGCTTGTTCATCATACTCTTCACAGTGGGGTTGGACTCTCTGCTCATCCTCCTCTCATATCTGATGATTCTCAAAACAGTGCTGAGCATTGCATCCCATGCAGGGTGCCTCAGGGCCCTGAACACCTGCGTCTCCCACCTCTGCGCCATGGTACTCTTCTACATACCGATGGTCAGTCTGTCTCTGATACACAGATTTGGAAACAGCTCATCTCACTGGCTTCAGATTCTCTTTGGATACATCCACCTGCTGGTACCACCCCTGATGAACCCAATTGTGTACAGCGTGAAAAGCACACAACTACGTGTGAGGATAATCAGGGTGTTTGTCAAGTGAAGTGTCAGCTCATCACATGGATCCAAGTCTGGTGACAAGGGAGATGAATATTTTGGGTCATGTGCATCTCTCCCATTCTTAGTACTGTGGGAGAAAACATTGTCCTCACTCTGAGTTTGTAAGCAACAAGTAGCCAGAGGCAGTTTTATTACGAGCTGCAGCAAGGGAAAAACTGGTTCGGACAGGGGGGAAGCCCCCTCCTCCCCCCCGAAGCAGATCTTCGAATACAAGCAATTATGAAGCAGTTTATATACTGTCTATTAGATATAATAACAATAACAATTAGTCTCCTTCCCATTACAAACACCAATGGCTAACAGTTATTTAGTTCCGCCCAGATGCTCCTTATCTCAAGGTCCCTGCCAGAGTCAGCATTCTATCCTTATCTCCGTATGGAGGCGAGAGGCGAAGGCAGCGTCTAATTACAGATCTCGCGTTGTCAGGCCACAGACTTAGCCTGACTCTTGCTCTCTTGTTAACAAGACCAAGATGGCTGCACACAAATTCCCTTATTCCCTTTTCCTGCCTCCACACTGCTCATCCTGGTCTCTAAGGCTGTGTCTAGACTACATGCCTCCGTCGACGGAGGCATGTAGATTAGCCAGATCGGCAGGGGGGAATGAAGGCGTTTCTAAACCTTTATTTTCATTAAACATTACATAATTAGTACAAACATAAAAGCTATTTCTATTACTACATCTTTTACAACAACAATCCAATATGAAACTTTTAATAAGCAAAAGCAATATAATCATTAATATCCCCAATATAATTCTATGATGGGGCTGGTCTATAATTTTAGTAACATCATACAACATATCATAATTAGTACACTAGAGAGAATGTGCTATGGATTAAATGGATATT